CTCATGTGGAATTCCATCGAAGCAATGAGAACATATGGTTTTCATAATCACCTTTTTAGAATTCTCAAATAGCACTTTAGTTGTGACTATAGTAGACTGTTAGTAGAGTAGAGGCCTTCTAAACAATTGCCATCCACTGTTAGGGCAGGATCCAACCTGTACCAAGTGATGTGAATTGCATTTGGATGTGTTTATGGAGATCACCCAGGTGGGTTGATTTGGAGTTGGCGCCAATGTCAGAATGACAGATGTGGTTCGCAGCTCATATGAGGCACGGTTTTGGGGATTCGATTCTTGACCACGGGATTCAGATTTGCCCAGATGCTTGTTGACCCCAAGTAGAAGGCTCCTTGGAATAACCTCTCACCGTTCTCACTTCTCCGGCATTGCATGCTGTTGTGGGTTGGAGGACTTGGTCGAACAATGTATCTACTCCCTGGGAGATCATAGCACTTACCTCAGGCGAGGTAAGGGGACACTTCCTTCTGTGGAAGGGACCGCTGTGGAAGGGACAGAGGCCGCCACGGGTTGGGGAAGAAATGGCGAGGCACTACTCTGCCTGTTTGGCATTTCAGAATATATATACCTCAGCTCTTCTTTTTCCAGCGATTTTGAAGTGCCGTCAGGTGAAAGTGCAAACCACTACTCGTCAACAAGCGTTCTTTGATCGGAAACCCGGCTTGCCTGCGGTCAAGCCATCATTTCCCAAAACGGGACTGTGAAGTTGGCCGAGTCTGTGCCAGTATGTCGATCCTTCAATTGGCGCGGGGGTCTGGAGGAGTTCTTCCCAACATCAGACTCTTAGAGTAAACTAAATGATCGGACTCGTGCTCCTATCGGTGTGGTTTTTGTCTCCTGTTTAGACTGACGTCGTCTAGACTGTCTCGAGTTCTGCCTTCCTTCGGCAGGCTTTGTAACCTGAAACTCCTGTCGGACCACACCACAGTCGGTGTTGAGCACCGACAGTTGGGTGTTCCGACAGTTGGGTGAAGCACCGACTGGGTGAAGACTTCAGGAACGGAATCCCCTGTGATTCTTTCAAGGATGCCCAGGTCTATTGTGACCTTCAGGCTTTGTGTCCAGCCGGACAGTGCCAGCCCCGAGATTTGGAGCCTCCAAACCACGCAGCTCAACGGTGAACGTTCCGGCAGACCCAACGCCCGCAGACCGGCTCAAAAGTCCGGCTCTGGAGCCCAATTTCTTGGCGCGTCACTCATGGACTTGATTCAGCAGGCAGCTTGGACTATTGATCGTCCATGAGGAAACCATGCGAGGTTCCACATGAATAAACTTGAAGATGTTCAGGTGTGCAAGTTGTTGTCTTTGGCCCCGTGGAAGATTTAGATATATGTCAAGACGCAGTAAAGACTAATTATAACCCACGAAGAGTTCAGTTTTTCTCACATTGAATGGCATGAAGTCAATGCCGGGAAATCTAGGAGTTTGGTAGACACTTTAGAATGCCAAATTTCCAGCAAACTTGTAACTTGGAAAGACAGATAATTCTTGCCTTCAAACTTGAAGCTTCGGAATTATAGAACCAAGTTCTAACTATGTCGTTCTTACAGTTGGATAGGGCCCTGAAAATCCTAGGATTTGGAGAACAATTGGAACAATCCTTCTTTGGGGATCAAACTAAATGAACTCACACACTCACACACAACACTACCCCTCTAACTCCAGACCTCAGCCCGCCCCAGCCGCCTCCAGCTTCCGGGGTTTCACACCTGGCGCGATGCTGCAGAATTCTGCGGCCCTTGGACTTCTCCGCCATGGCCTTCCGCCCTGCACGCGTGCGCGTCCCTCACCTGGGGCTCCTAGCGCTGCGTGCTCCCCGCACGCCGAGCGCGGCGGATCTACTCCGCGCGGGGACGGTGAGGCGATGGCTGAGCTCTGAGAAGAGGGAGTTGGATCCCAATGGCCCCAGTGACGCTCTGACCAGCTTCACAGGTGGCTTGCCGACTCAGAGGCTGGGAGCCAGAGACATGGCGGAGAGGGGTGGGTATATAATTAGGTCAGGTGTTTGGAGGGTCTTTGGGTGAAGGTGAAGGTGGGGAATGTCAGGGATGCGGTGAAGTGGCCCTTCTCACGGCCCAAACAGATTATATAGATTAGATCAGTGAAAGGCCATACATTCTTGGACATTGTGAACCTGTCAAGATACTTGGAGACCCACATACCACTGGCAAGCATTCTTGGTGCTGCCCTCTTGCAGGAAAAGGCACTGGAGCAAATCACAGCACCCTGCAAAAACTGATCCTGTTCTGCCAAAAAGCGGCTCCAACCGCACAGTTTCAATGTCAGCTGCCCATATACAACTGGTCTAACCCGGGCGGTTCGCCGCCCGCCTGGACCACCGGAGGTCCACGGACTTTGAGCTGCGGCAGTCCTTCCGGAAGTTCCCACTACATCGACAGGTGCAGCTGGGGTTAATGAAGATGGGCCTATCCGTGCCCACAAGAGTTCAAGAGCCTCTGATCACTGGAGGGTGGCGATTTGGAGGGCTTTGGAGGCTTCTTGGGCGTTCGGTTTGTTCTGCTTGCTGCCAGCATGCTTGGTTTCTTTGATTCCCTTGCGCTCTATATAGAGTATATGTACATATATTTGCTCCCCGCCCATGATCTACCTTTTCCTGCTTTTCAGCCCCTGCCTTTTTCTGCATTTTAGCTCTTCCACTTTTCCTGCTTGTCAACTGCTTTTCTGTACTGGGCTACCCTTTGTGTGGAATAGTTTATTCAGTTTATTCAATACCCTGACAAGATTTAAGAAGGGAGTTAAAAGAAATCAACTAAAGATTCTAAAAGGTAGTTAAAGTCAACACCAGCCAAAAGGAATTCAATAGGTAGTCAATAAAAACCGTGCGGAATTTTAAAAGGGAATTCACACATAAAGATAAAGAAACATGAAACGCATAGACGTGATTGCAGGGATGTTATTATTAAAGCCAAACAGGGCAGACATTATTGTAGGGGGTTAAGTTATATTGTTCAAGATTTCTAGCGTGATGGGCAAACCCGTTTGTGATGGAATCGATTCAGAGTTTGATAAGATGTAATAACGGAGTTAAGGACAATTGATAAAAGCAATTAACAGGACATCAAGAGGAAAGGAACCCAATAGGTAATCAACAAAGACCACTTTTTTTCAAAGGGCATTCGCACATAAAGATAAAGAAAAGATGAAAAGCGTAGACGCGATTGCAGATTTCGTGGCAGGTCCACCTTGAAGTGCAGAATTCGTGGCAGGCGCGGTACTTTGTGGATCCTGAAGTGCAGTTTTCGTGGGAGTTGCAGCAGGAACACTCGTAGTCAGAGTACATCTTCAAACAAGTTGCTTTGAGTTGATTTCTCCCAACGACAAGCACAGCACCCACAACCACCACAACCACAACTTCAACCACCACCACCACCACCACCGCCGCCGCCGCCGCCGCCACGACAACTTCAACCACCACCAGCACCACCAACAACAACAACACCACCAACACCAACACCAACACCAACACCAGCACCAACAACACAACACAACAATACAATAAACTGTAATTTCCTTTGTGTGTGGCATTTTGTGGCAGGTGGTCACAAGGTCGCACTTTGAAAAGAATGCCAGCTGTAGACCCTGGCCACACCCCGACGCGAACTCCCCGACATTAACAACAACTCCAACCGAGGACCCGCAAGCAAAACTAGCCTGAGCACCGCATGCATTTTACAGGATTGTAATTAATCAACGTCTAACAAATCTTGAAGACGCAGGGTATGCTGGAACGTCCAATCTTTACATTCCCCTCATTCTTGGGGCCAACCCTTGGACACTCCAGTATGCCCCTAGCCCAGGCTGACTTACTCTGCTACGGCCTCACAACTTCTTGTGAGCACTAGCTTCAACGGCTGTCCAGCGAAACTCGTGAAAAGCTTTGCTTTCATGAAAAGACGAGTTTTGCACCAGGTCATGGTGAAGTAGGTGCCTGTTTCCCGCTCTGGACAAATGTTCTTTTTGCGGCAAGCCCTCAACAGCAATTCTCTCCATTCGCCTTCGAGTCTGGGCCGCTGGCAACTCCAGTAGGAGTTCTAAAATTTGGCTCCCAGTGTGGGCTGTGTGTCCGCCTTCTGGAGTCCTTAGTAGCAATTCTTTACATGTGAATCCTGGCCCGGGCTTTTCTCTCAAGCATTTGACTGGGCTAGTGTGTCTGCCTGCTGGCAGCTCCTACTGCGTCCGCCTTCTGGCAAAAGCAATACACCAATACTCAAACATGATTTAAACAAATTCAGATGGGAGGGTTGCTGTGCAGATGTCTGTCTAGAACGGCCGCAGCTGCAACTATTGGCCCTTCATGACATCATGACTAGACGAGACAAGGAAGTTTGGAAGGCCGAGCGCTGCTCCGAACTGATCATTGTCTGCAGCGCTGGCTGTGAAATTTTGTGCAAGAGCATCCTACCCCCTGCCCAAGGAGGAGGCATGAAAGAAGGTTACCTTTGGACAGAGAAAGGTGAACCGATCCCATTTGGTGCCATTGGCGGGGCAAAAGAGGATGATGAGGTCATCCCTGCCTTTTTGAAAGGGGGCGGCCTTTGACCATGATGCAAGGCGTGGAGTTGGGTTTTTGGCACTTTAAGCCGCGCAACAGAGGAGGACTGGCGGCACTTTGCTGCAAGCTTCTCATTTCAATGCCAGCAACGATGGGACTGGTGATACAAAAAGCTAAAGGCACTTGCGCAATCCATAGGTCATGTTTGGAGATGCAGATTTGCGGCGGTCAGCTGTTTGCGGTCTACGGTTTTGTTTTTGGTTTTGGTCCAAAGTTGCCCAAGTGCGAGGCCTTTAGCAGAAAGAAAAAAAGATAGACATATATATATATATATAGGTGTATATATATACATGTGTATGTATGTATGTATGAATGAATGAATGAATGTATGTTTGTATGCATGCATGTATGTATGTATGTATGTATGTATGTATGTATGTATGTATGTATGTGTGTTGTTGCTTTTGGACAATGCGTTTGTAGTTGTAGGTAGGCGCGGTTTTCTGACAGGTTAGAAAATAGCTTTTGCGCGGGCAGGCCCGCAGAATGCAACTGTAGGTGGGGCATGGGGGGGTGTATGTGTAAAGTCCCTTCCTAATAGTGTGTCTGCCTGCTGGCAGCTCCTACTGCGTCCGCCTTCTGGCAAAAGCAATACACCAATACTCAAACATGATTTAGTATAATTGAGATGCGAGGGTTGCTGTGCAGATGTCTGTGTCTAGAACGGCCGCAGCTGCAACTATTGGCCCTTCATGACATCATGACTAGACGAGACAAGGAAGTTTGGAAGGCCGAGCGCTGCTCCGAACTGATCATTGTCTGCAGCGCTGACTGTGAAATTTTGTGCAAGAGCATCCTGGCCCCCTGCCCAAGGAGGAGGCATGAAAGAAGGTTACCTTTGGACAGAGAAAGGTGAACCGATCCCATTTGGTGCCATTGGCGGGGCAAAAGAGGATGATGAGGTCATCCCTGCCTTTTTGAAAGGGGGCCTTTGACCGTGATGCAAGGCATGGAGTTGGGTTTTTGGCATTTTTAACCGAGCAACAGAGGAGGACTGGCGGCACTTTGCTGCAAGCTTCTCATTTCAATGCCAGCAACGACGGGACTGGTGATACAAAAAACTAAAGGCACTTGTGCAATGCATAGGCCATGTTTGGAGATGCAGATTTGCGGCGGTGAGCTGTTTGCGGTCTACGGTATTGTTTTTCGCCCAAAATTGGCCAAATGCGAGGTTTTAAGCTTATATATATGTGCGCATATATATATATATATATTACATATATATGTATGTATTTTTGTGTGTCGTCATTTTTTGGACAGTGCATTTGTAGTTGTCGGTAGGCACTGTTCTCTGAAAGGTTGGAAAATAGCTTTTGCATGGGCAGGCCCGCAGAATGCAACTGTAGGTGGATCATGGGGGGGTGAATGTGTATATAGTAAAAGTCTCTTCCTCCACACGCTGCAGTATAGGAATGCTTGGTCCAAAGACCTCGCCGGCAGAGCGTTATTGTTCGACGGTGGGTCTGTGATGTGCCATTGGGGTGCTTTGAGAAGGGATGCGGTATAAATACTTATCACGAAAGCTAGCCTGACCTAGCAAGTTATATAAATGACGGGTTGGACGCGCCTCAGAAAACTTAAAATTAACAAAATCAATGTTAACGACCCCTCTTCGGAGGTTCAACTCTGCCCTGCGCGCGGTGAGCGGGTGGGCATCTGCTGCTGCTGCTGCTTCTTTTTTGAGTTGGCCATGTAGAAGAAAACCAGCGCAAAAGCCTGCAAAACGAGTGCTGAATCTAGCACTCGTTGTGGACCATTTGGAGGCAGCATGTCATGCCTAGCATGAACAGCTTGGTTTGCTGCTGCTGCTGCTGCTGCTGCTTGGTGGTCTGCTGCTGCTGCTGGTTGGTGGCCCGCTGCTGCTGGTTGGTGGTCTGCTGCAGCTGCTTGGTGGTCTGCTGCTGCTGCTGCTGCTGCTGCTTGGTGCTCTGCTGCTTGGTGCTCTGCTGCTGCTGCTGCTGCTGCTGCTTCTTTTTTGAGTTGGCCATGTAGAATAGAAACCGGCGCAAAACGAGGGCCAAATTTAGAACTCGTGTTGGGCCGATTTGGAGGCAGCATGTCATGTCTCTGCTGCTTGGTGGTCTGCTGCTGCTGCTTAGTGGTCTGCTGTTGCTGGTTGGTGGTCTGCTGCTGCTTGGTGGTTTGCTGCAGCTGCTTGGTGTTCTGCTGCAGCTGCGGGGTGGTCTGCTGCTGCTTGGTGGTTTGCTGCTGCTGGGTGGTCTGCTGCTGCTTGGTGGTTTGCTGCTGCTGGGTGGTCTGTTGCTGCTGGGTGGTCTGCTGCTGCTGCTGCTGCTGCTGCTTGGTGGTCTGCTGCTGAATAACTTGGTTTGCTACTGGTACTGCTGCTGCTGCTGCTGGGTGGTCTGCTGCTCTGCTGCTGCTGCTGCTGCTACTGCTTGGTGGTCTGCTGCTGCTGGTTGGTGGCCTGCTGCTGCTGGTTGTCTGCTGCAGCTGCTTGGTGGTCTGCTGCTGCTGCGTCGTGGTTTGCTGCTGCTGGTTGGTGGTCTGCTGCTGCTGGTTGGTGGTCTGCTGCAGCTGGTTGGTGTTCTGTTGCAGCAGCTGCTGGGTGGCCTGCTGCTGCTTGGTGGTTTGCTACTGCTTGGTGGTCTGCTGCTGCTGCTGCTGCTGCTGCTGGGTGGTTGCTGCTTGTTGGTCTGTTGCTGCTGTTGCTGCTGCTGGTGGTGCTGCTGCTGTTGCTGCTGCTGCGGCTGCGCAGCCACACTCTAGCATGCGCGCGCCTCCCCGCCCGGCTAGCTTTCGTTCACCCCCTCTGGCCCCAAGTTGTCGTCAATGACACCAGATTCTCGCCAAACAAGATTGGACAGTGGGGATAAAGGCACAAAACACGCTTCCCTGCAGGACGGGAAAACCCTACAGATCCAGATAAAATTGATGGAACATCAGGGCGAAGGACCACTTCCAACAGGGTGAATTCCACTTCAGCAAGGAATGCGTAGCTCAGTCACTCCTTCATCTATGTACCGCCGTAGCTACCACACTCAGCTCATCAGGGACGCTGTACCACCCCCGACCCACGGGCTGCCTGCGCGCCCTCGACTTGAGGACATGACCTTGCCCATGCTGCTGGAAGGAGTGTCAACCTTCATCCTGGCACAAACTGGTACAGGGAAGACCTTGGCTTATGTGCCCTGGTCTTCCAGTGGCGAAGGATGCAGAATGGGGCCAGACAATTAAGGAGGTTCGTTAGCCTTCAGACCATCGAGAAGTGCTGGGTCTCTGGACGGGACATCAGTCTCAAACTCCCTTCAAAGTGAGGCCCCGATCCTTGCCGATCGTAGTTAACAACGCTTGAAGAGTATCCTGTGTTCTGTTTGGGTAATAAAGATCCTGGGTTCTTTCCCCCCCCGGAATGGCCCACCAACAGCCTAAAGTTAAGGTCTTACCGATCGTGCACAAGTTGCTGACCACCAACACTGATGCTCGGCAGACCGTGTCGCCAGCTGTTTCGAACTGCTCTCGATGTACCACATCCATCGCCGCCACCGCCACCGCGATCGCCTTTCCCGGTCTTTGTCCGAGGAGGGTTTCTTCCCCAAGAGTCGGCGCCCACGTGCGATCATCGTCCAGCCGACGAGGGAGTTGGCCTTGCAGACGATCAAGGTGGTGCGGAACTTCCCAGTGAGGCCGGTCGGATATGAGAATGAGGGATTGATCAATGGGTTTCTGATTGTGAGAGGTTTCAGGTGCTTTTCGATGTGATTATGTCCAATTCTTTACTCTTGCACACTTCTTTGTTCTCCCTGTGTAGGGTGACACCACACAAGGTGAGAAAGGAGAAACACCAAATTTATTGGACCCTTCTATGGATTCCATTCGATGCCTTCTACCTTTTACCGTTGATTTTTTGGACCACTCTCTCTCTCTCTCTCTTCGGCTTCCCAACCACACAGCTCCAGGGGCCACGAACAGGTCGGCGGTCTTGGCGCCCAGCTGCTCCTTCATCAAGGAGTCGCAAGCGTTGCACCAGGGCGTCGACGTGGTGGTGGCCACACCCTTCCGGTTGATTTTGCACCTGGCGAAGGCCCTGCGGTCCATGTCGTGTGGAGCGAGCGAGCCTTGGTGTCGGTGCCATGGGGTCCTCAGAGTCGGCTGGGTTTGCTGTGGCACATCCAGACTCAACCAGAAACCGCACCACCGGTTCTTGTTCTTAAAGGGTGCCTCATATGGGTCGAGAATTCCAGACACCTGGCGCAAGGCGCACCTGGAGCTGAATGACGCGCGGCACGTGGTCTTAGATGAGGCGGATACCTTGTGTGACACCTTTTACCAGAAAGAAGCCAGCAAACTCTTGTGCCTCGGTTTCTGAACCCACCGAACTGAGTGGCGAGTTCTCGGATTTTTGGACGGATTGGATGGGTCCGATGTGGGCAGGTTTTTGGGACACCTACATTAAGTCTCTTCAACATAGTCCTTCTAGATGATGAGGTCCAACTCTTGCGCTGTTGATCGCACCGATGCAATGGGTTTTGGGGGGTGAACGAACGAAGCTCTGCCCATCTTGCAAAGCTCCTTTTGGGGGACATGACAAATACATGACATATCCATTCCCTTGCACTCTTCCCTTGACACGACCTCGCTTTCTGGCTTTCTCCCCGACCACGCCGGCGAAGGCGCAAGTTGCGATGGCCAAGTCGCGACCGACCGGACGACCGGACGAACGACCGAGGCAGGGCTTGCAGAAGGACTGCCGCGTGAAGCCGCAGATCGTGGTGGTGGGCGCCACACGCACGGGCGCCGTGAGCGCGTTTCTGCGGCAGCACCTCAACCAGACCGAGGCCGGGGATTGGGGCGAAGTAGACAGTCCAAGGGATTCATGTGAAGGAACCATCAGGTCAATGTAGGTAGTGGAAGGTGTAGAAGTTGTTGTCTAGTGTTGGAAGGGGTGTTTAGTCCTTCACCTGAATGGCAAATGGAGACCTGGTGGTGGACATACATCCTTATGGACTGCGCGCAGTTCTACGTTGACCGGGAGCGGCGTCCCTTGGCTTCAGTAACATGGGTTTGTATTGAACTAGGAGATAGTGAGACCCATAACCAACGTTGGTCCATTTTTTTCTTCCAAAAGGTCTGGCTGGGGTTCTCCATAGTCTCCCTATTTCAATGCACGCCCACATGTTGTGGCTTGGCCTCCCCTCCTCACCTGTCCAGCCAGGTGATGCCGGTGGTGACGACTGACGCGCATGTGCCGCCCCCGAACTTAGAGCAGGTCTTCGTGCCAACGAAGGGCAGGTGAGCGATTGGGTGTGGGATGTGTGGGGAGATTCGGAGATTCGGAAAGATGAGTGGAAGGATGTGGTGCAAAAAGGAGCCAGTGGTGATTGACTGCAGGTTGTTGTAGTGTCCTGCAAGCGCTGGCTTGTTTATTTTACATCGTTTTATATACATTGTTCTTTGAAGCAGATTTAGATGGGAAGAGTTAAACCCCGCAGCATTTCTTCCAGCCTTCCCAAGCAGATGAGCTTCCCCCCTCTCAGGCGGCTGCTGACAGTGCTCTGGGAGGTCTTGGGAGAGGTGGCCACCGTCAATCGAAAGACCTTGATTTTCACGAACCGTTTGCCCAGTTGTCGCATGGTGCCTAGGATGTGTTTGCTGTGTCGAGGGGAGGTGGGCTTGTGGATGGGCGAAAAAATGAAGCAGTAGCTTTCGAGGATTTTCAGATGGAGTGATGGTAGTTCCTTTCTGTGCGGTGAATGCTGGGGATCAAGCCATTTCTGGAGTTTGGGCTGAGGTACCGGCATTGTGTGGCCACATTCCAAATTATTTGCTTCTTCGCTTCTAGAAGCTGGAAGCTTGCACCATTTCAAGAGGGTGTCTAGGGCATAGTGATTCGGTATGATTTGGTGTTACAGGCGAACCAACAAGCAAGTACGTTCTTTACTTGGGTAGGTAGGCAATCAACTATATATGTATATATATATAACTACTTCAATCCAAGCCTTGTTTCGGCCAGAATCGACAATGGGGCACGCAGGGTCAAGGGCTATAGTTTGGGAAGATCTCTAGGTAAGTTGTCACCGACTAGTTTCGCTACTTTTCGGACTGGCATTGATTCTACAGGGAGGGGAGGGTACTTCTTTGCATGGCCAAGGTCGTTGGTATGGGAAATGGCCACGGCCATGTTGAAGGTCTTGGTTTTGAGCGGTTCTGGGTGTTGATCTGGGAAGCAAACCAACCAAACGATCCATGCAGACGATCCCTCCAACCCGGGTGAAAACGGCCTCCGTGCTCCGAGGTCTTCAAGAGCCTCCAGGAGCACGGCGTGAATGCGGTGGCGCTGCACGGCAATGTGCACCCAAAGAAGCGGAAAGAGGCCTATGAGGCGGGGAGGACGTGAAAGTGTATACATATATAATGTTTTTGTTGAGAACGGCGGAGGCTTGATATGTTGCATATATATATATATAGTGCTATATAATGTTATATATATATATATATATAGCGTGTGTGTATATATAATATATAGGTTATATCGAGTAGAGTGTTGCACCGACAGTGGGTACAAACATAGCCCTTCATCCTCTCACGGAAACAAAGGTCAAAGAACACAGACAGACCTACAGAGGAGGCCTGGAAGGCCTCCTGTTCTTGGTAAATTCCCAGTGAGCGATTCCCCTTCGGGTCCGCCTTGTTGCTCAAGGCCTTCAACAGCGCCTCTGGAGCGGAGGTGATGGTCTGTACGAACTTGGCCTCCAGGGGTCTCGACTTTAGCGTCTCGGCCAAGGTCTGGACTGGGAAAGGTGGGGGTCTCAGCCACCTGAGACAAATGCCTTGGTTGGAGATGCTTGCTTTGCCTCACATTGTCTCCCAAGCTCCCAAAGGTTTATTGTCTTTCTCGCGGTTTGTAGTTTGTAGATGTTTGTAGTGGATTTCTGCTGATTTATGAAAAGCCAGAGCCGGAAAACACATTTCATGCTGCCTGGCACAAGGGGGCGAGTTAGACCACCGCCCGGCACCTTCTTGGTGAAGTGACCCACAAATGGATCCGTGTAGAAATGGCTGACAACAACTGCCAACCACGAATGCCCTTGTTGAAAGCAGAGACTTTCTTAAAGGTACTTTGCACTCCTCATAATTGCTCACATGCAGTACAACGTTTTACTCACTTGTGTTTTCTTTTTTCTATACCATTACTGTATTCTCATGTCTACACAATCATTTGTGTGCTTTTCAAAAGCTATCAGACCAAAGAAAAACCCAGCAAATGCCACCCAGGTAATGTCCATCACGTGGTCATGTACGACTTTCCCTTGAACATGGCTGACTACCTGCACCGCGTAGGGCGCACCGCGCGCGGGGGCCGCGCCGGGCGCGTGACGACGATCACGCCGCGGCGCTATTGGCCCTTTGTGGCGAAGATCCAGGAAGCCACCAAGGAGGGTCTAGCGGAGTAGAGCGGAGTTTTTGTGAAAAAAAGGCCGAGTGAAAAGAAAGGATGGACCCTTGAACTCTTCAATAGTTTATCTTTGAATTTTAGATAGATTCAACTAAGTATATAGGTGACAATTTGATAATCCTGACATATTCTGACAAACCTTTTGTTTGTTGCTTCCATTTTTTAAATCTACTGGAGGACGTTGGCGAACATTTTTTAAAACCCTTTGTGGAGTTTCCGGAAGGAGCCTCGATCTGGGAGTTGCCCAAGTCTCGGTTTAGGAATGAACGGCCAAGGAAGAATCTCGAATCCACAGAGCTTGGACCTCTCCATCGGTCAGAACACCTGGGCACTGGGGGTTTCGCTGTCCCGCATGGTTTCAGGGCTCCTCCGATGGTGGGTCCTGAGGGTCGAGGTGGATGACAAGTGTATATGTATGTGTACACACAGTGAAAGAACACGGTGGTCGCAGGCCACCCATATCCACCCATGCTCCACCCCCGGCAACGCTGCGGCAACGGCCGACGGTGAATTCGAAGGCGTCGCTCTTGCATGTATGTCAGCGGCGAAAGCTGATTCGGTTGAAAAACGAAGAGGGATAACACCTTGAACCTGCACGGTCATGAGGTTCCGACGGGAAAGCCGCCACACGTAGCCCGGTTACGGTTACGGTTGCAGTATATAGAATAAGTTGCATACTGCCCAAGACCACTCCCTCCTTCCTTCCGAGGGATCACGCATTGTGCTCTGCGCTCCAACGCCGCCGCGCCGGGTGCGGGGCAAGCAAAACTCCCAGTCAGACCGCATAATAAGCCAAGACAGTTGTGGGAGCAGACGTCGGGGCTTCCTGACCGGCCGCGTCGTGTGCCCAAGGCGACCCGGTCCCGGCGTACTTCGGCGTACGGTGCCCGGAGGGGGTCGTGGCGCAATGGGCTGCAGCGGCCGAGAGTCAAGACCGCGCGCCCAGTGGGAAGCCAAGCTCACACTGCCGTGGATCGCTTCGAAGAATGGCGGTATTGTTTGTCTCGTGCTCCTCTCACGGTTGCGTGCGTTAGGCAAAAGAAAGCCCGGTCCGCATCCAGGCGCGGTTCCAGCTGGTAGCGCTTGAGTAGCTCTTATGAAGTGTAATGTGGTAGTGGTAACGGCAGGAGCCAATTAAGTCACAAAGAGGATGGAACTATGTTGGGGTTGCTCTTCCATCAATAGGTTCGTCGCACCAGCTGCGGGCGCGAACCGCTACTGGTCAAAGCCCGAGCCTGTGAGGTTGCGGGAGCGCTGACGAAGTGAACGTTACACAATACGGGAGCTGACCCCAACGCACGCCCGAGGGCCAAGCCACGTGCAGAGTATCAACGAGGATGTCGCCGGGCTTGAGCGGAAACTGGCGGAGGCGAGGAAAGAGCACAGGTGTCCGATGTCCAGACACCGGCATATCAACGCACTGTTGAGAATGCTGCGCCTTAGTTCAGTCGCGCATCGCTCGTTGCACCGAGTTGACCATCCCGCAGGCAAGACGGGGTCTGGCGACACTCCATGCGGCGGATGAGCATGGAAAGCTCCAAGAGCTTTTCGCGCAGGAGCCGGGACATTGGCCCGAACAGGCCAACAAGGACGAGATTTCACGTCTGGAGGCCCGTCGGACCAAAAAACTCGCCACTTGAGGGTGCTAAAGTGCCGGCATCATTTGAACGATGCGGCCTTGCGCCCGAGTGCCAAGTGCACATTCTGACCTGTAGACCTTTTCATGAAGTTTTTGATTTTGTAGGTTGTAACAGAAGGTTGGCGGTATTGCACTTGGTTCTCTGTCTCTCTCTCTCTGTGTTCTACCTACCTACCTACCTACCTACCTTCCTACCTACCTACCTTCCTTCCTTCCTACCTACCTTCCTACCTTCCTAATTTCCTACCTTCCTACCTTCCCTCCTTCCTACCTTCGTACCTTCCTACCTTCCCTCCTTCCTACCTTCGTACCTTCGTACCTTCGTACCTTCCCACCTTCCTACCTTCCTACCTTCCTACCTTCCTACCTTCCTACCTACCTTCCTTCCTACCTTCCTTCCTTCCTCCCTCCCTCCCTTCCTTCCTTCCTTCCTTCCTTCCTTCCTTCTTTCCTTTGTTCCTTCCTTTTTCTTTTCTTGTCTTTTCCTTTCTTTGTTCATTTTTTTCGTTTCGTTTTGTGTTTCGTTTCTTTTCTTTTCGTTTCCTTTCCTTTCGTATCCTTGCCTTGTCTTCCCTTTTCTTTTCTTTTTCTTTTCTCTTCTCTTATCTTCCCTTCCGTTCCTTTCTTTTCCTGTCTTTTCCATTCTTTTCATTTCTTTTCAATTCTTTGTCTTTTCTCTTCTCTTCTCTTCTCTTCCCTTCCCTTCCCTTCTCTTCCCTTCTCTTCCCTTCTCTTCCCTTCTCTTTCCTTCTCTTCACTTCTCTTCCCTTCTCTTCCCTTCTCTTCCCTTCTCTTCCCTTCTCTTCCTTTCTCTTCCTTTCTCTTCCTTTCTCTTCCTTTCTCTTCCTTTCTCTTCCTTTCTCTTCCTTTCTCTTCCTTTCT